CCAGAAAAGTAATAGAATCCCGACTTCGACACTATTATTTTCAACCTTAAACATTTATTCGTCTTCATCCATTACTTACGGCCGACTGTTTCAAGTTTCAACTAATCCTTTTAATTTTATTTTATTTTGGAAAACTCCTTTTTAAAAATTTAGTGGCAATTGAATCAGTAAAATTACATGTTTGTAATTTATTGGTGAAGTTGCAGTCTAGCTTTCACCTAATTAGTGATAATTAAATATTTTTAATATTATATATAGTATTAAAAAGTAAAATAATATATATTTAATTTTAAATAATATAATAGTACATTGAAACTAATAATAAATATAATATTTACAAGTTCAAAATATTAAAATTTAAACTCAAAAATAAATTTAAACATGACATAATACTTTAAACAAATCTAAGCATATAGAATGGAATTAGCCAGTTTTTGACCGGTCCTGCTAGCTGTTTTTTTAAGTTAAATAAATTAAACACATGATTAAATATTCATTAATTTTCCAATCAGAATCATATACAATTTCTTAATTGTTGGTTTCAACTATCAAAAATTAATGGCGGAGGTAGAAAATTTTGTAACACGGACAAAAGGTCACACAACTCAAACATCGTAACACAACACCATATATAGTGAATATACATAGTAGAATTTAAAGAATTCTCCAATATATATTATAAATAATAGGGGAAGGTTATACTTACAACCTATTTTTGTTTATAACCTTTTACAATCATATCTTAACCGTTGATTTTCGTCAATCAATAGGTATCATTCATTGCGAATTAAATATTAATTAATAAGTTTGATTTGTGAAAATAATAACCGTTTATTGACAAAAATCAACGATTAAGATATAGTTGTAAAATGTTGTAAATAAAAATATGTTGCCTAAATAATAAAAACAAAAATTGGGAGACTGAGATTGAGGGAATAAATTTATGCTACACTACTTTTTTGTTAAGTTTGAATGAGACTTAAAACAAATATTTATATGAGTTTGAGGGAACAATCACTTACCTTGATTCCTCCCTTGCATTATTGTTGTGATTCGAGGACGGCGCCAAAAACTTGTTGTGACTTTGGCAAGTGCAACTATCGTAAAAGTAATAAAGTATACTGAGTACGAGATTATTCCTACGAGGATTAGAATTTCAATCACTAGTTCACTATTTATGCTTAAGTTGGACAATCAATCAAGAGAGTTGAATGAAATTTGATCATGAATATTGTATAAAAACCAAACTAAATAACAAAACAAGAAGGTAAAATTTGGATTACTTATCAATCAAGAAACGTAATTAGGGATTCGACTTCCTCCAATTTTTTCTTTATGTTCTGAATTAAAATCTTAATTAACTGCCCTTTTTATATTGCTCATAAATTTCTCTAAATTAGTTAAAACTCAATCCCTTAGCATCTTAACTTTTTACTCCCTTAAGAAAATCCTAATTTCTTGATGTTTCCCAAAAGTATTTAAGCATTAATATCAAGAATCATAAAAATGGCACAATACATATGTCTATTCCTAGAGTCATACAATTTAATGATGAATAAGTCAAACCAAATTCATATAGTAACATCTTTATTGTCATATACGAATCATTGTTCAATCTACAAGAACAACTCATGGAAGACCTTAAGCAAAGACACATTCATTCAATATAAAAAGAAAAAATTACATGAAAGATTAATTCAAAAACATAAAGATTCAATTAGGTTTCATCAAGCCCTAACTACAAAGAAAATCTAGCCTAATATGGTAAAATCAAGAACACAAGAAAACAAGAAAGCTTCCCCAAACTTCATTGATGTGATGGTGCGATGAATCTTTAAGATTTCTAGCGTAATACTAACTCCAACCTGTCTGTGGCTCTCAAAAGCATGAAAGACTCGCTCCTTCGATAAAAACTACGCCTTCGGTGTCAAGTGATGTCAAAGACTCATGAAGAATAGCTTAAATAGGCATAAGAATCCTTGTTTTAGGTAAAAAATCACGTAGTGGGTCTTAATTGGGTCGCAACTGGACGTTAAACGGGCTGGAGGACGTTAAAATGTGCTATTTTGATAGTAAAAATATGGTTTCGTATTTTGGCCATGACTTGATCTATACTCATCCAATTTATATGATCTTAGTCTCATTGGAAAGATAAAAGAGAGATCTACAACTTCTATGAAGAATACGAGATTCAAATCCATCATCTTGGATACGAAAAATTGGCTAAAAGACAGCTTTAGGAAGATTTTCACTAAATGACTATTCCTCATTTATCGTTGTAATCCTTGAAGCTTAACCATTGCTCCAAGTCAATTCAATTGTCCTTTAAACAAGAAAAAATCATTCACATAAGTCAATAATTCAAACTCCGTGTTTTTTAACCAAATAACTCTAAATTTTTGTGCTTTTGACTAGATATAGGAGTGATTTTAGTCTTTAAAAATATGATAAACTATGAGTTTATCAACTACCACGATCAAGAATGAATAAACAAATTGTGCCACAAACTTTTTATTTTCATATTGACTTTTGAAATAGGGTTTAATATTTTTGCTTTTATTGCAGAATTTTTTTTCTACTCACACTTAGTAGGATATAATGATACCCGTTCACTTGTGTATACGTGAGTGTGGTAGAAAAATAATTTTTGCTTTGTAAGAGTAGAAACAAATTTTTTCTTAAAATATTAGTGGTTGCTTAGGTGTTCATTGTTTTTGAATTTTTTTATTACATTTTTAATCATTATACTTTATATATTCAAGCTCATCAAATAATTATGCCTGCTGCTAATGACGTTGTTAATGGGACAAGTAGACCACCTTGGGCATCCGAAATTAAACTTCCTTGATAGTCCGCAGATTGACTTGATCACATCATTTGAAAGTGGATGAAAAGAAAAAAAATAAAGAGATAGAAAAATAAATAAAAAAGTAATTCTTCTACAATATAAAGAGAAAATCGTAAGAAAAAAATGAACGTAAATAAAAAGTTTATATAAAATTATACATATGTTATTAATTTATCTGTAATAACAAACAAGTGTATGTCATTTTTCATTTTGTATATCTCCAAGTGCAATTTTCATAATTTATAAATTAATTATTTTAAATAAAAAATAATTTAAAAGACAGTCTTAAATATCATTAAAATATTATTTTAAAATATTTTTGTTTGGAAATTTTGTCAATACTTTTTATTTTTTATATATAATTTAATTATACATTAAATATGACAATTACATAAATCTCTAGCCCTTATTCCTCAATCTCATCCTCTAACTATCCCACCGTTTCATATTGAGCTGGTTTTGAAGGCCACAAATGGTGATGATGTGGCTTTCTCATAATTACTAATCAAATATTGTTAGCATGGTTATCGATCAATAATAAATCAATTAAGTGAATATGATGTTATATATGTATCCAACATTTTAAGATATTAAATTGATCATCCTTCCTTTGAGTTCCTTTCAGATATTAAATTTAGGAAAATGTTTTTCGCAAGAAATAAATTGTCTCATGCAACACACAAAAAAAGAAAGATGAATAAGACTCGCTAACAAAAGAGAAAAAAAAATGAATCTGTATTTTTATTGCATGAGATAATTTATGTCTTATTGACAAAAACATATCCCTTCAATTTCTCAATTAATTGGTGTGCGCGAATCTACAAATCTACAAAGCACGGACACGTCATTTTGTAGAAAAAATGCGTGTCTGACACGTGTCGGACACCGACACGTTCGGACACGCTCCGACACGCGTTTGACACATACTTAACTTTTTCGGACACGTTGACTATCTGGACACGCGATTTTGACCGTGTCCGACACGGTCCAAGGGCAAAAATGTAAGGTTTTTGAACGAGTAGGAGGAGGAGAAGAAGACTGATTCAAAGAGAAAAGTTAGAGCGAAATCGGTGAGTCTCCAATGGCATTGTTGCCTACAAGGCCTTAAGCTTCAGGTAGGGGGACCTGAACAAATACATGCAAGACGAACATGTGGCAGCTGGCTGGCCGGGTTGGCTCAGCGTCGTCGCCAACGAAGCCATTCACGGCTGGGTCTGCTACGCTCTGATGGCTGGTGACCAGATACGGGAAAAAAAGATGCAAAAATGGTGAAAAGAAAAAATGCATGAGAAATAGCAAAGCTAGAAGATGATAAAAACCAGATACGGGAAAAAAGAGAAAAGGGGTAATAAAGAAAATGGTGAAAAGATAAAAATAAGATTTGAATTTGTCAAACGGTGGAAATGACTACTCAGCTACAAAAGCTGTTTTTTTTTGTCTACAGCACATAGCCTATTGATTTTGATGCGCCTAGCCTTTACCACCACGGTTACTAGAACAAACAAGATTAATTAGAATATGACAATAGAGTTAGGCTCAACCATTATTTTTAGCAGGATAGTTTGGCCTTTCAATAACTTTATCATTTGTTAAAAACTAATAACAAATATTTATAAAATAATATTTTTTAATATTCTAATAATGAGTAATTTAATTGAAGATATTTATGTTTTGGAATAAAATTAAGAGGCCATCTTATTTATTATATATTATCTTAAATGACAAATATTTTAAATTATATTGAATAATCAAAATTATTTTATAAATAATATTATAAGTTCTATAATCAATACCTTTAACACACTCATGAGAAAAATGTTCATAGATAAAATTATTCAAGATATTTATTGGTTGTATGATTTTTCATGGTTTATTATATGAAGTAAATATAAATTATATGTTATCCAAAAAATGTAAATTATATTATATATATTAAAAAATTTATTTAATATCAAAACGTGTCCCAACGTATCCAAATATAACAATTTTTAGAATTAACGTGTCAGCGTGTCGTGTCGTGTCACGCGTCCGCGCGAATCATATGTTACTGTCCCATGCAGAAACCAATGAGGAGGAGCAGGCCAATACCGATAAAGATACAACTTTAACTAAATATTCTAAGTCCTTCTCCTTTGGAATGCTTCATGGGTTTTGCACAAGCACCCCCCCTTCCTTATATTCATATGGGTCCACTCATAGGCACCTCTATCAGAAGAAGATTCTCTGTTTCTGCTGTGAAACTCAACGGTGACAATGACCCATTACTCCTTTCTGCCACTGCTTCTGCTTCTCTTCGTTACCAGGAAACTCTTCGACCGGGTAAATTAACCCATCTCTCCCTTTCATCATCGAACCAAACTCTTTTAAGTAATGCTATCTCTTTTAGACATTTTATCAAGCATTTCAAGGATGGTGCTGCTGAATAATGTATGGATATCGTTGAGTTTTCTTGTTTCAATCTTTCCTTTTCCTGGATAGTTTTCAATGCTAAACACTGCATGCATTGTTCAATATTATATTTTTCCACATTATGCATACAAGGTTTTAGTTCGTTTGGGGGGGGGGGGGGGGGGGGGGGGGGGGGGGGGAGGTTGTAGTTTTGTGACCATACCCGGAACCTTGAATCATGTTTTGTGATCTTGCATTCACATTTTTTTATTTTTTATTTTTTTGGATAAACCACATGTATCTCCCAAAAATGATTTTTGCATTCACAAGCACTTGAACCTAATACCTTGTTTAAGCAGGAATCATCTCTTGCATTCATATTTGCATCACGATAGCCTGCTAGGCTAGCATTTTATGGGCTGTCTATACATATTCTCCGTTACTGTTATTTAATTATCACATATTTTAAAGCCGAAAATAAAGTTATACCTATTAGGTGCTGCTACACTGTGCCATGTCATGTAGCTTATAAGTTCAAGAAACTCATAGTATCACTTCTCCGCTAGTGCAGAACCTCTGTTTGTAGATCCATATGCCGGGTGCTTTGTCCCTTTAAATATTCCCAATGATATGAGTCAAGACTTGCACCCCTATTGTCTTGCAACCAAGTTCATTGATGATAAGTTGCTTCGTACAGTGAGCCATATTGATGGACTTAAGCAGGTACTTGCTGATTGCATATATACTTATAAGAATAATTCGATTTCATCTTACTTACGATGATGAAAGTATTTGATATTCCTAAATTTTTCGTTATTATTAAGTAATTAGGATGTTTGTTCTGGGGATTTGTTTGGAGGATGTTGCATTATTCTTTTTATTAACTAAAATTTATGCTGTTTTCCTTCACCGCATAGTTCGTTCGGGTTTCTCATCTTAATTACAGGTAGTTATGTTGACTGATGGCATGGATACACGGCCATACAGACTCAATTGGCCAACTTCAACCATAATATTTGACATATCGCCCGAAGGAGTGTTTAAAACTGCAGCTGAGAAGCTTAAAGGTGACATTAGTTGACTGGATTAAGTGAAGGATAATCTTTAAGCGTATATCATTGCCAAAAATTAAATATAATTTGGGCAAAGTTGGTCCATAATATAAGGACAATGGCGTGAATGGAAAAGTTGGTAACTACACACATGCGAGCCAGATGTCCCGAGGATTGGGATTCTCTACTTGAGTTTTTCTTTTTCAAATGATCATGTCATATGATGAGAAAGATAGACACAAAGGGTTCTAAAATTTGTAGTGCAAAAATCTCTCTGTTTATTTTTCTCCCATGACCGTGTAATGTGAAAAACTTAGGAAATAATCCAATTCATATGGCAACTATTTTATAAACTACAATATTATTATTGTAAGTTCAACAAAACCAGGGTACTGCATGGGTAAAAGATTTATACCTCACAAAAATCTTTATAAGGTTTGTAGCTTGTTTTCATGCATATGAGTTTTCACTCTCCTTTTTTTCTTTTTCTTTTATTTCTTTTTATGTTTGTGTGTTGTGACTTGTAAGTTTACTGAGATGAAGGTGTCTAATTGTATTTTTTTTTAACGCTTCAGGTGTTGGGGCTAAGATTCCCAAAAGTTGCATATTCTATCATATTCCATTGGAATCATCTGATATAGAGCAAAGTTTGCAATCAAAGGGCTATAATGGTAGCAGGCCAAGTATATGGGCCATACAGGTGATCAATTCTATCATTTCTTTCCCATTAGTAAACACTTGAAATCACAAGCAAAGTTAGTGAGTTTGGGGTTGGGGCGAAGAGGGAATGACTGCTTGAGCAGTGAAGTGAGTCATATGTGTTTATTCCTGTGCAGGGGTTTCCTGTGATGACACTGGCAAATTCTGAAGAAGTTTTGTCAATGATAAGCAGTTTGGCCATGAAGGGATCCTTTTTTGTGGGAGAGTTGCCTGCCTGGTTAGCTGAGACAGACATAGAAATCAAGGTCAGTTAGCAATTAGTTAAAGTAATTTTCTTCTTCGAGAAAAAAGAAATGAAAAAAAATATTTTCTGGTCCCTTGCACAGTACAATACAAAGCAATGGATCGATAAACTATTCATGAGCAAGGGCTTTCGGGTGGAGCTGATTAATTATGAAGGAGTTGCAGAGAGTCTCGGTAAAAATTTTGCCACAGGACATTGCAATAATATACTGTTTGTTGCACAACAACTGCGACATTCTGATTATCAGGTGAGGCACCTTGTATTCAGATTGACATGGCAGTGCATAGTAGTGAGTGTGTGTGTGTGTTTATTTTTTTATGAGGATGGTATTCTAATATTTTGATCGTTATCCTACCGGGTTCAAAAGTATTTGTATTTGTTAATCTCTTTGGCATGTCATATAAGCCTTTGTCAAACCACTTCTCTCTCTTTCCCTCTTTTTTATGCCATTCTCAGCAATAAAATCTGTTTCACGCATTGTAGGTGAATTCAGTAACTGTCGAACGCATTGAATATCAAAGGCTTAAGTTTGGCCATTTCTATGGCCAATTTTGATTTGAGGCCTAAAATTGAAAGAAATATTTGGCCTCATGAAAGACTTAGAAAGACAATGGGTTGCTGACGACTCCTTAGTAGACTACTTTACACCATATTAGGTTCAGTTTTCGATTTTCCATTATCAGATGTACCAAAACAAGTCACATGCCTTTTATTCTTTTAAAGAATGGTTATACCATGTCTTCTTTCCCATAACTTGTTTTTGTTCTTTGACGAGAGAAGACAACATATAAGTGGTTCCACTGAAAATCTGGTTTTTCTATATGACATCAATCTTCATCTCGTTAACGTATTCATGTAGCATAAATAATCCGAGGCATTGATATTCTTGCAGATGGAAACATGGAGAAGAGAATTTCAAAGGGTAGAGGCTGAAGGAGATGAAGACGGTTTTGATGAGTTATAGAAGAGCATATAAAATCACCACAAGCTTATTAGCCTAAAGGAATCGCTACAAGGGCCAAAACTTTAAAGCATTTGGATGCATTTTTTCAGTGCCATGAGATTGTCCATATTCACATAAAAAGCATCCAGAATGTGGTTGCTAAATATTCTCTTTTCCTAAAAGGACAAGTTCATGCACCTATTGATCCATTTTATTCTGTTTTCTCCTGTGTACAATTGATGGTAAGCTCGTGTATCTTTTAAGGAATATTTTCAGTTATGAATTAAAGTGCAATATAATTTAACTGAACTGGTTCAAATTATTAACACTCTGATACGATCCTTTCTCTGTCTGGGGAGCAAGACCGACACGGATCGGTGGAGGACGATGGAGATGTCGGTGGAGATGTTCAAGGTGTCCAGCGAAGGGGAAGCACACGTGTGAGAAAAGCACCACCATGGCTAGAAGGCTTTGTTCAATCTAAAAGTGGCTGAGGTGGACTAAGACAAGGGAGCAGGGTCTGGATTCTCCTAAAATGGTCCAGCCCACTAGTTACTTACATAGGATATAATAATTGGGCCGCTGTGCTAAGCCCACTTTCTTTTATTTTCAATTGCAAACAGTTAGTTACAATTTTCAATTGATCAGTAGCCTTATATTACAGGGAAGGGGCACGAGGGAGATTATCGAATATTTCTGTAACAAACTCATCTTCTTCAACCTTGTATCTTCTTCTGGAGTTGCCGGCATTCTCGTAAATTGCCGTTGAAATATAATACAAATACATACTTTCAGTGTTATCGATTGTCTAGGTAGCTTGAAGCTATCAATCTGGTGCTCTCGTTGAGAGAAACTTCCGTGAATCCTGATGGCGGAGGGAACTCGCTCGGCAGTGAAGAACAATTTGATGGAGGAATGTCTCTCCAAATTAGCAAAGCATGAGGATCAGTTCAGTGCTTTGGGTGATCTGCTGCAAAGCATGAACCTAAAACTAACATTAATGGAGGCAAAATTAGATCAGAACCAAAAAATTAAAGGGGAGCATAAGGGTGAACACAGTATGGGCCCGGGACTTACCACCTTCTTTGGCAACAATGCATACAAGTCCGTCAAATTTACTGTACCCAGGTTCGCAAGTGGAAACCCAGAACCGTGGATCCACAAAATCCAACAATTTTATGGGTTTCATAACTTACCAGATGCTGATAAATTGACGCTCACCTTTTTTCAGATGGATGGTGTAGTTGAACACTGGTTCCATTGGATGGAGCGTAACCAGCGATTGACGAATTGGGACGCTTTTGTGACAGCATTGAGATCTCGGTTTAGACCTTCAAAATACCGCGATCTAAGAGGAGAGTTGGGGAGATTAGCACAACACACCACAGTGGAAGAGTATCAGAAAACCTTTGAGCAATTGTCCAATCAGATTATGGGCATTGATGATATTACCTTGCAGAGTTATTTTGAGTCTGGGCTCAAGTCCGAGATCAGGAAGGAAGTTCGGTTGCATCTTCCTGATTCCTTAGAAAATGCCATAGCCATAGCCAAAGTGATTGAGGACAAGTTGAGTGATCGTTCTTCAACACGATTCGGGACTCAGAGAAGCTATACCAGCCCCAGCACTATGAATCAGGTTGGGTTACTGCCAACACCCCCAAAGAGCAGTATGCTCTCTACTGGTACACCTAAGAACTCCATTCCATTTAAAAAATTGTCATCGGCAGAAATGGCTGAGAGGAGAGAAAAGGGACTATGTTTCTATTGCGATGAAAAATACCATAGAAATCATGCCTGCAAAGGAAAAATGTTTATGTTAATAATTCAAGATGAGGAGGAGGATAAAGTCACTGAATTAGAAGTAGATAATGAAAAGATTGGGGGAGAAGGAGAAGAAGAGGTACCTGGCATTAGCCTTCATGCGATGGATGGCCAATACTCATCCAGTACTCTGAGGCTGCGCGGGTTGATTAATAAGAATGATGTCCAAGTTTTAGTAGATGGCGGGTCTACTCACAATTTTGTTCAAGAAAGAGTGGTCAAGTTTCTGGGGTTGGAAGTTAAGCCCATTAGTCCCTTCAAGGTGCTTGTGGGTAATGGAGAGCATCTTGGATGCAGTGGAGTGTGTCCGAAGGTGACACTGGAGTTGCAAGGCCATTTTTTTGTAGCAGATTTATTTGTACTTCCTATCCAAGGAGCGGAGGTCGTCCTAGGAGTCCAATGGCTGTCGGAATTCGGAGACATCACCACAAACTACCAGAAACTACTGCTGAAGTTTAAGAGAGATGGAATATTAATTGAATTGCATGGTGAACCACGGATACAAGTGGATGCCATAGAATTGCACCAGCTCCGTAAATTAGCTAGTTCAGATGCAGTAGCCACTTACTTCCAAATGCAGGTCATTAATCATGAGCAGCCAACAGAGCAAGACCTCAATGACTGCCAAGATAATCTGATTCAGCACGTACTGCAGGAGTATGAGGACATTTTTGCTGTTCCCCAGCAACTACCCCCCTCACGATCAGAGGACCACCAAATACATCTTGAACCTGGTACAAAGGCAGTCAATGTGAGACCCTACCGTTACCCTTATTTTCAAAAAACAGAAATTGAGAAAATGGTGAAAGAGATGCTACACACAGGGGTCATTAGACCGAGTCTTAGCCCTTTTTTCCTCACCCGCACTTCTTGTAAAGAAAAAAGATGGTACCTGGCGGTTTTGTATTGATTATAGAGCTTTGAATCAGGTAACAATTCCTAACTGATTCCCAATTCCCACTGTAGATGAAATGCTTGATGAACTCACAGGGGCAGTGATCTTCTCTAAGATGGACTTGCGTTCTGGGTATCATCAAATACGCATGGCACCCCAAGACATCTTTAAAACTGCGTTCCGGACACACCAAGGGCACTATGAATTTGTTGTGATGCCCTTTGGGCTCACCAATGCCCCGGCCACCTTCCAAGGAATAATGAACACCATGCTCAAAGAATTCCTACGCAAGTTCGTGATTGTGTTTTTCGACGACATCCTCATTTATAGCCGATCAATGGGTGAGCATGGAACACATTTACGACAAGTCATGGAGTGCCTGAGACGGCATCAGTTTTTTGCCAAGAGATCCAAATGCTCATTCGGTAGGAAAGAGATCGAGTACTTGGGTCACATTGTGGACAGCCAGGGAGTCAGACCCGATGTAGAAAAAATCAGGGCCATCAGGGATTGGCAGGTACCAACCACTGTGAAACAGTTGCGTGGGTTCCTCGGTTTGGCTGGTTATTACCGCAAATTTGTTCGCAGTTTTGCCCAAGTGGCTGCCCCATTAACAGCCTTATTACACAAGGGTGCTTTTGGTTGGAATGACAATGCTGAAAGGGAAATGATGGAACTGAAAGGAGCCTTATCCAACCCTCCTATTTTGGCACTACTCGATTTTACAAAGAAATTTGTCTTAACTACGGATGCATCCGGGGTGGGTATTGGGGCGGTCTTGAGCCAGGAAAACAGACCCATTGCATTTTTTAGCAAGAAGCTAAATCCCTAGATGCAACAGGCGTCAACTTACGTGAGAGAGATGTTTGCCATTACAGAAGGAGTGTCCAAATGGCGACAATACCTCCTAGGGGGACCCTTCCTCATCCGAACCGATCAAAGGAGCATCAAAAAGATGATGGGACAAGTGATACAAACCCCTGAGCAGCAGTGTTTTCTCGTTAAGCTCTTGGGCTTTGATTACTCGATTGAGTATTATCCTGGTGCTGGCAATAAAGTGGCAGATGCACTCTCCCGACAACCTGAAACCGATTTACAGACCAATCCCATACAAGGGTGTGCTTTGGTCATTTCTACTGTGACAAACAGTCTGATTGAACAAATAAAGGGGGAAGTTCAGGACCATCCAGAGCTGGTTCGATTAAAGGCCCATATTGACACGCACAGTGACGGGTTTGACCACTATAGTTGGCGCGATGGACTCGTTCTTTTTAAAGGCCGTGTGGTAGTAGCTTCTGACTCAGACATACGCATTGCCATCTTACATGAGTTTCATTCTTCCCTGATTGGAGGGCATGGAGGGGTAAGGAAAACATTGCAGCGGATCACACCCCTCTATTACTGGTCCAATTTGAAAAAAGATGTCCAAGAATTTGTAAGGACATGCCCCATATGTCAAGTAACCAAATATCAACCCCTAGCACCCGCAGGACTGCTCCAACCTCTCACAGTTCCTTCAGCTATCTGGGAAGACTTGTCCATGGACTTTATTGTCGGGTTGCCCCCATTGGAAGGAAAAACAGCCATCCTGGTGGTTGTGGATAGACTCTCGAAGCATGCTCATTTTATTGCCCTACCCTCTAATTACACCGCAACGAAGATAGCCTCTGTCTTTGTGGATCACATCTGCCGACTACATGGTATTCCTCGCTCCATTGTTTCCGACTGTGACCGCATCTTTGTCAGTAAGTTTTGGAGCGAATTAGCTCGCTTGAGTGGGACCAAGCTCTGTTTCAGCACAGCAAATCACCCAGAGACCGACGGGCAAACCGAAGTTACCAATAGAGGGTTAGAACAGTACTTACGGTGTTACACGATGGAATCCCCAAAACAATGGGTGCACTTCCTTCCTTGGGCCGAATTTTCCTATAACACAGCATATCACTCTTCAATTGGGACCTCTCCTTTCCAGGTAGTGTATGGCAGGGCACCTCCCAGCATTCATCCCTATGCAGAGGATACAACTTCTGTGGAAGCGGTTGATTCTTTACTCACTCGCCGAGATGACATACTGCGGCACCTCAAGGAGAACCTGCATAGAACCAGGCAGAGGATGAAGGTTCAAGCCGATAAGAAACGTCGAGATGTTCAATTTTCTGTTGGAGAGTCTGTATTAGTCAAACTTCAACCGTATCGCCAGCGATCAGTGAGAAATCATACCTTTTCGAAGCTGCGCCGCCGTTTTTATGGCCCTTTTCCGATTACGGACCGTGTTGGCTCTGTCGCTTACCGGTTGAGTTTACCTCCTCAGTCCCGGATCCACCCTGTGTTTCATGTCTCTCTACTGAAACCATACCGGCAGAATCCACTATTTCACGTCGCCCCACTTACGTCGGTCGATTGGGACAATCATCCAGTGGTTCAACCGGTGGCGGTGCTCCGTACTCGGGTGCTACAACCTGGGAAGGAGGAAAGCTTGCAACTTTTAGTGCAATGGGAGGGCATGCAACTGGAAGATGCGACTTGGGTGCCTTACTCTGAGTTCTGTAAATCCTTCCCTAACTTTGATCTTGTGGACAAGATTGATTTTTTAAGGAGGGAGGGAAATGATACGATCCCTTCTCTGTCTGGGGAGCAAGACCGACACGGATCGGTGGAGGACGATGGAGATGTCGGTGGAGATGTTCAAGGTGTCCAGCGAAGGGGAAGCACACGTGTGAGAAAAGCAACACCATGGCTAGAAGGCTTTGTTCAATCTAAAAGTGGCTGAGGTGGACTAAGACAAGGGAGCAGGGTCTGGATTCTCCTAAAATGGTCCAGCCCACTAGTTACTTACATAGGATATAATAATTGGGCCGCTGTGCTAAGCCCACTTTCTTTTATTTTCAATTGCAAACAGTTAGTTACAATTTTCAATTGATCAGTAGCCTTATATTACAGGGAAGAGGCACGAGGGAGATTATCGAATATTTCTGTAACAAACTCATCTTCAACCTTGTATCTTCTTCTGGAGTTGCCGGCATTCTCGTAAATTGCCGTTGAAATATAATACAAATACATACTTTCAGTGTTATCGATTGTCTAGGTAGCTTGAAGCTATCACACTCAAATATAGTTGCTGGTTCCGTTTGCACATCAATAAGCTTCTTCAAGGATGATCTACAAATGGTTGTAAAATAAGTAATGTGTCCGTGCGCTAGGCCAGAATTGTTTCCACTACTGTGAATTATCCACCTTACCTTCGACAAAATCGGTTTTTTCTCTTAACAATACCAAGGGGCATTTCTCGCTACTAATGTCATGTGCTCCCCATACCCAACTTTTGAGGAGGGCAATTGTAATACAATGGTAAACGGAGAGAACCTGTCTTAACTAACTGGAGAAAAGACTTAGCGTACCTTAATTGCCTGTTAAAAGAACAGCCAGAGTAAGAGATTTACCTAAACATGACGCTTCTACCTGATTGATTTACTGTAACTGTAATTGATACTAACATTTAATTGTTTCCAATTCAGTTGTATGATTCATCAATTTTAGACACACTACAAGAATTGGAATATTTTCGGGGAGGCGTTCACAAAACTTTGAATTCTCAGACAAGTGAGACAGCACTAGCAAGATGTACTTCTCATGACAATCCTTATACTTGAAAAACAACCCCGCTACATTAGAATACTCTCGAAGAGAACTTCAACATTATTTATAATAACGTAGTACGATAATAGGGTCTCATGCAGAGTGCAGTTTAGTTTGTGGTTACAACTTTAAAAATTTAAATCAAAAAATCTTCTTTTTTTCAATTTTACGTTGACTATAATTAAATATGACAAATGTTAAAATTAGCGAATCACAAAACATATAAGATAATAAAACTCATAAAAGTATTGTATAATAAAAAAGTTAATAATTAAATATATATGTTACATAACTGTATAATTCCTCGGAGTAAAAAAAACAAAAAAAAAATCAATGCAAAAATGGTGTCTCAATATTAATACATAAGGGAATCCGCCCCGCCATTCTTGCATTCTATCTTCTCTTTTTCCTGGACGCCATAAGCTTCCCCGTCTAGTAAATTCTCTGCTTTTCTCCTTTTAATTTTGGACTTTATAATCTCGCTAACTAATTTGTCTTCCCAAAGACTGAAAACAGATCTAGAACTGGGTCAGGACCAAAATTTCATGCCAATTAACTTTTTCCATCAACCTTCGTCTTTTTCATTGATTTGCCACCATTGTCTTTATTTTTCTTCAACCTTTGCTTATTATCTCCACTCCGTTGCTCTGGCTTTTCATGAGGATTCACTTCCTTAAACTCTATTGGTTTTATAATAACACCTGGTCTCTTGACCACCTGCACATACCAGAGTATACTTACAAGACAGCTAGAAAAAATACACAAGCGTATTGTATTTTCCCCAAACAGATTCATTTGATATATAAAGACAACAACCTACTAACAGTATCCAATAAATTAAGGGTTTTTCTCCCCTGATAGAGAGCAGGACTATCCAAATATTGTTTTTAGTTAGTTTAAATAAGGGCTACGGCATGATTCAGTCTTCACTTTTCACACGAAAAATTCAAAGATAGAATAGCCAGTTCGACAAGGATCTGTTCTGAAACACTTACTTCAGGCCGGTTAAGAGGTCCAATCGCAGTTGCCGGATTAAATTCAGGTCCAATGGGCACACGCATGCTCTGTTCAAAGACCTCCTTGGAGGTAAAAGGGTAAGGCAACGCTTTTGTATGGAGTTTCTGAGCCTGCCATATCAAAAAGGAAATATGAAATTAAAACCTGCTCAATTTACTTGATTGAAAAAAACAAAGCACGCATACAAAACAAAATAAGTATTGAACTAGTCAGCAGATAGTTGGGGGCGTAGTTGGCAACATGATCCAAGCCATTAATTAAAACTGAAATTACACCAAGAAGGTCTACCAAAAGAAAAAGTAAATTAGAGCAAGAAAACACCAACCTCGACGAACACCCCCCATAATAATAACAGAGTAAATTACTCCCCCCTTCCTTGAATAATGTGTTACTATGCAGACCTTCCCTCTATCATAAAAACCTACCACAATTTCATTATATTTATGAAAAATATGCTATGGCTAACTCTGAAAGACCCATCAAACCTAAAAGATTTGTTAAATGAGCTGTTAGCTCATCGTTGTTTCGTGGTCAAATGCTCCTACACTTCTTCAGCCTTACATGTCAAGAAAATGGGACAAACACATTCATTGGTTGCAGCCCTTTACTCACATAATAGTTTTAAATAAAAGAAATAGAGAGTAGGTCCATGTATTCAAACGCAAAATGAGGTAGGAGTTAAAAATTTCACAATAATAATAATATTAATAATAGATAATTAATAATATTACTATAATTACAAACCTTGAGGTTATCTGAAATAGAAAACACTGAATTTAAAAATATGCCAATCAAGAATAACTCCTCAAATTTCTAATCGGAAAAATGATATGTAATCAAGTTGATATCTATTATCAGGAAAGAGCTTGGAAGTTGGAAGGTCCTAAACCTTGTATTTTGTGCTACTAACCTTCTTATCTAACTTCTCAGTGATGATCACATTTTTTAGCTGAGCATCCTTCCTCCTTTTGAGAGCTTCTGCCCTTTTTATCTGGGCATCTTCATGTTTTTTCAGCATCCAAGATGGTAAACCTTTCTTCTGCTGGATATGTGTCCATTGGCCCCAGCCAGGAATTAATAGAGGCTTTTCTGGTTCAGGATTTTCTTCGTCTAGGATCTCCTGCTTATCCTTTTCAAAATCACCTTCTACATCATCTCCAGCAAAAGCTTGCCGAAGGAGCTCCTCTTGAGAAGGAAGTTCATAAGACTGTTTAGAGACAGAAGACAGAATTCCATCCACCATCTGTCCTTCACTATCTGTATCGCTATCCTCTCCAAAATCCTTTTCAGTATGCTACAACATAAAAGGAAAGAAAAATAAGGCAAACCAACAACAGTACAGTGCAGTTTATGTTCATAACAAAGAGAAAGAGTTCATACTTTTATATCTTGCTTAACAGGCCTTGTAAGCTTTGGAGACTTCTTGATATTTATGTCTTTTTCATTTCTGTTTTTTGCCTGCTCATCATAAGTACATCAGTCCAGCAGAATGCTCAAATTTTAAATGGAATATACTTCTCTTTAATTAAGAAAGAGATTATAAATATTAAAACAAAACAATATATTAAAAGCATTTAAACCTTTTTCCATGTATCTGATGCAAATATAGAAACTTCATATGTAGTTTTTGGCCCAGGATTTTTAACAATCTCATCAAAGCTCTGTGAAAAAACAATGCATAAAATATATCATATCTATGAAGCAACTAGCAAGACAGAAGAAACTTAATAAGAAGTCCAAAAAAATAGGAATTTCTATACCTTGAAAACAGATTCATGATTAGTGTCAGTGTCTTCTTGAATTATGACCGAATCATCATTCATATCCTTCTGCAAAAGGTTAATTTCCCCATTCTCTACATTTCCACTTTTGCTGGCACCCAAGTCATCCTCACTATCACTGCTACCATAAAACTTATCTGATTTCACCTTATTACAAGCATTGGATGTTTGGGCTTTAGCTGCTCCAAATACTCTTCTGCCACTGGTAGAAGCAGCTTTTGGATCTTCTGAGCCACCAGAATTGTCTGGGTTCCTCAAGGAATCTTCATATTCTTGAAGAGCAAGGTTGGCTTCTTCAATTGCTGCTTCTTTTCTTTTCTCCAATCCACGCCTCTACACAAGAACAAATCATTGGGGGGGACCACAAACCAATAAGAAAAACTTCCTAACTGTCAAATTTTCATCTCTAAATTGGATATGATAAAACAAAACTAACATAAGCCAAAGATATATGCATCCTCCTCACTGTGGTGATCCCCACCCCCTTTTACAAGTACTAATAGAACAAATCATTTAAAAAAAAAAATAATTCATGTAAAAAATTTAAGTATCCAACCCACAATTTTCTCAGGATTAGGGACATATATCACCATGAGAGGCTAGGCTACTAATATTTCTTTCAAGGGGAAAGAAGAATAAGAAGAGAGAAGGAATGGATAATTACCATAAACGGTAAAGAAAGCAATCCTGACGTCGGAACTTCGTCCTCTTCCTCTAATACTTTCATTGTCTTCTCTTTTGCTTTTCCCAAAAGCTTGAAATCCCTATCCTGATCAGAACCGGCAGAGTTCTCAACTCCATCATCCTCATCACTGGTATCATCACTGCTGCTGCTACTACCCTTCATTGAGTGCATTTTTCTAGTCAATTCAGCATGCCTTTGAAGTTGTTCAGCTATGGCAGCACGAGTTCCTTCATCTTGGGTAGTTAAACCACGTTGTAAAATACGCTTAGCCCATTGATTCTGATTTTTGTGTTTCAGAGTCATGCGTTCCTGTATAAAGTTGGGAAGTTAGAAAAGGATTAATAGAAATAATTTTTGTCTTTTAATAAATAAGACAATAAATATTACAGTAAAAAGCATTCCTTAAGCTAAATTTCTCCGGCTCCTATTTCTTGAGGGATGATGATATACCTCTGCCCTTTGGCGCTCTTGTTTCATGGCAAATTCTTTAGCAGCTTCAGGGTCCATTTGAATCCTAGAAGACTCTGCCTTCAATCTATCTTTCTTCAACAAACGATGAAATGTTCTGGACTTGATCTTTTTAATATGCTTTGCCTTCATTTCATGACGAAAAAGAAGGCTCCGCATTTTAGCAATCCGATTTTGCCTATCCTTCTCATCTTCAATAGTGACCTATCAGGCACATAAAACAATTGAAATACAAGAATACACCAATAACTCCACATCCTAAGCATCACAAACATGGGTTAAAAATAATGCTAAATAAACAGAACTTTAAAATTGAAGTTGAAGCTAAATTTATTCTTAAACTCCAAAAGCCACACATGGAACATTGCAACGCACTTAAAATTGGAAATTGGATAAATTGAAGGCATCACTCCAATTGAGAATTGACCAGATCACATCACAAGCACTTAAACATTGAGGAGGTAAGAAAATATTGAGGGGAAAAAAAGATAGATTTAAAAGTCAGAAAAAGACAACTTAATCAGATTCCAGATTTGTAGATCAGTACCTTGTTCATTTCAAGAAGTCTAGAACCATCCTTTTTATGAGCTTCCATAACTTTGTCATCATGCACTAGTGCAGCAATTTTCCTCTCAAATTCAGTTCTTGGCTCAAATTCGGAAGCTATTGCTCCTATGGTTGAAAACCCTAAATCTACATTTTCATCAAAGAAAACAGTTGGTGCCTCTCTATTTCTCTGAATGATGTGCTGCCACTTTGTGACATCTTTCTTTGATATTTCATATGCCGCCTTCCTCTCTACCTTCGCTTGAACTGCCTTTGAAAGTGGTGCATGAACAGTTCTAGCGTGCTTTTCAATTTGTTGCATTCTCTTCCTAAGTTTTCCATAACCAGGATTTTCACGAAGAGGGTTCAGAAGATCCTCAATGCTAATGTGTCCATCACCATCCATAACATCACGACTAGGATTATATTCAGACTCTGGATACAGCTCTGACATAACAGCATGCATCATCTCCTTATTCTTTTTATTCTCTGCATTGTCATTAAAATTTACAAGCGTATTATACTTATGAAAACATAATAAACAGACTGTGAATGCACTAACAGTTGTTACTAAAATAATTCCCGTATAAGAAGTGGTCAGACTTGTCTCAAAAAGTTCAAAATAAACACCCTTCCATCTTGAAAACAATATTGCAACATTAAAAACTTCTTCATATGCATCTCAAATATGTATTTTTGTTTTCCAATAAATAGAGCAGAAAATTGACCAGATGCCTCTAAGGTCTAACCTAAATAATGGATAACACAAAAGCTAAACATCAATTTCTTACCTTCAAAAGCCTCACTCGGCATACCAGTAATTCCTTGTAACATCCTAGCATGTCTTCCATCATCTTCCTCTCCAGAATCGTCATTCAGAGCATTTTCATTCCTCATTGTCCCAACATAATCATCATCGTCTTCATCATCAGATTGCACATTCTCATCCTAAAAGTACAAATGGACACATAAATAACAATGAACCAGAATAGATAGAACAGATAAGTTGAAATATAAAATAACAAAAATAACAATAAACTTCATACTATATATAATTATGTACATATGGGTAATATGCAAATTCACATCATAAACAGAACTGCGCTGTGTAGATATCAAAATACAATGATTCTTTCACGTGAACAGCAGGGCAACCAAGAGCTATTCCGTCATGGATTGCAGCTTAGTGTCTCTGTCACTGATTTTGAAGGTAAAGTTTCAATCTATGCGGACTTCATGGCAGACCCATCCAAAAAGTGTGAACTTTGCTTGTCATCAGTTACAGTTCTACTTCTAACTATATATTGTCTATGAATTATTATTTTTCAATTTTTTCAAAATTTTGTTAATTGAAATGCTTGTCGGGTACAAAAACTTGTTACGCTAGTATCTATTTTATTGGATGTATCGTATAGTATAGTATATATGATATACTAGTTTTTGTTTCAAGCTTGTTGCAATATATTTAGTCCCTGATACCAATTAATTCATATATAAGAGTAAATAAATATATACACTGACGTTGCTTCTAGATTGATGTGGCAAAAGAGTGAAAAGGAACCCTTTATTCTATTTTTCTCATCTTACTTTCCTGCTTAAATCCGTGTCAAGAAAAGCCCCTGAGAAAATGAAATGATTCTGAAGATGGCTGGCCCATAAGAAACAATACTTTCTAAGATTCTGAGCTAATTGATTGGAATGCAAAATAAGGCCCCACCCTTCATTCATGATAGATCAGGGAGTCCACTCCTGGGGTTCTGGGCCCTTCAAATTATTGAAGTAACGCGGTATCAGCCGTCACCAAGAGGGTTTTTGTGAACATTTTGTCTATCTCTAAACAAAGCAAGAAGATTTCGCACTCTTTGTGCAACGAAACAATGCAAACAGATTTCGCACGTATGAGATCTAAACATAGCCCCATGGCTAAGAGTAAATATGCAGATCGATTGCCTCAGATACAAAAAGGGTGTCTACAAGTTTTGTATACTCTTTTATCTTTCGTTCCCCACTCTAATATCACCAATGAGAGTTACTTCCCCCCTCTAAAATCTACTTTGGCAAATTAATTTACGACAAGATAATCCAAACACTGAAATAAAATGCAAATCACTACTTCGAGATCAGATGGAGAGTTTGAAATAAAAACCTCGAATTCATGAGAAAGGTCATTATTTACTGACGAAGGATCGTAGCGCCTATTCTTCCTTGATTCCTCCTCGGCCTGTTTTTCCTCGTACTCGTATACGTCGTTGTCGGAATCCATGATGTCAGCATCGCCCCCATCGAATGCAGTAGTGTGGTTTAAACGGTCAACCTCTCTTTGCAACGACGAAGGCAACCGGGGACCGGTCTTCTTCCGTTGAATGTTGCCGTTCTTCTTCGACTTCTTCACTCTTCCGCGGTTGGCTTCGACCCTGTCCTTACGCTTCTTCTCTGCCATGCTCTACTTCGGGGTTTCAGAGCAATAGCTGCTAACACGCTCTAGAAATGAGATGCGGATGCAACGCTCAGCAATACAATCTAAAACCCTACTTCGCTGGCTATTTAATTAATCCATTAAATTAACGGAATTTAATGTCTCAGGTATAAAATTTATATAAGATTTATTTAATACATACATATAAAAATAAAATAAAAAATATATAAAATTTATATTTTTTTCTGTTTATATAGACTACACATTTTTATATGTGAATGAGATAATTTAATTTTCTACGATATAAAAAATCAAAACTTTAAATCAAATTATGACTATAACAAAGTTTATATCTATCAATCTCAAAATTACATCATTTTGAAAGTTATTGAAATTAAAGAATGGTGTTTTGGTAAAATTATATCACAAAAAAAAAAAATTCAAAAATATGCTTCATCAATTTTTAACGACGTAAATTTAGAATTGCTCAGATAACTTTCTCTACTGTGGTAGGAGAAATATTTTTCTCATAGAAAATAGACATAAATGTAATAAAGTTGGTTTCATTTTTTTTTTTTGGTAAATATATTTAAATTTATTTAGATGTCGATATTTAATAATTAAAATAAATAAGATAAAAATATTGTAATTAAGAGTTTCAAAATTAGATAAAATATATTTAAACATGATAAATTAATTATACTTTTTAATCAATTTTAAATAGATTAGATATCTATCTAAATATGAATTTATAATAAATAAATAAAATAAGAATAATACTATTAGAATTTAAAGTTCATATACAGAATGCACTAAAAAAAATTATATACAAAATAAATTTAAAGAGTTGTCCTGATTAAAGAATCTTCCTTTCATGTGATATAATTATCAAGAGGGGAGAAAAGTGTGCCACACATTAATTCTTGGTTGAATTAAACACGAGTTCGGAACAATGATCAAAATGTCATATTTTGTCAATTTTTTTATTTAAATATCAAGTGAATAATATTTTTTATCAGACGCCACATATTATAATTCGCTATCGCTGGAAGCGAATTTCATGGCTAATGATTTATTGACACGTGGTCGGTCATATTGCAGACCAAATTTGCTATCACTGATAGTGAATTATGACACGTCAGCTTTTTCATGTGAAAGTGTGTCACGTGTTATAAAATTATTGACAAACATAATTTGCTATCATTCGTAGCAATTATACTTACGTGACAGTCTAGTAAAAAGTATTGTTCGTTTTGGATAAATTTTTTACCAAAAGATGACATTTTAATCTATGTTCCCACGAGTTCCTTATATTCCTGGTCTTAGCTTCTTCTTTTTTAACACGAGTTCGCGGGGAGAAGTGATAGACACCCCAATTTGAAAATGACTATGTGGAGTGATTTGTTGTTGTCTGATGTATTTCAAAATTTCTTGAAAAGGAATAACAAGCTGCAAAAGTTTTGAGTGCTTACCATGTTGCATTCTGATTTGTAATATTAACGTCGTGAATGGAATTTTTTAACTTGAATTTTCCTTTTCAAGAAGATTGCGAGTGCCCTCAGAGCTTCACCCCTTAAGCGTGCCACTTATCGTAATTCATAAGCAGACTTTTCCCTTGTTACTTTATACACAGTGGGCTTTGCATTCCATCAAATTGTGATCCGATTTTGGTTGACATTATAAATCCAAATTGTAAATACCATAAATCAATATTTAAAATCTAATCTAAAATTTAATATATTTTATAAAGCAAGAATTTGTAACATTCTTCAATTATAAAGCAAGACACGCAATTAGTATATGTAAAATAATGATTAAGTTTATCAATCCCATTAATATTGGCGTACTTAGTAAATCCATCTACTTCTGAAATTAATGAAATTAGAATATTATCATAAATGAGAAAAAAAAACAGCTAATGATTTAATCGTAAATAGATGATTAAATCATAAATAGATGGAGTCTAATATGATAAGATTAAAGAATGATTTAATCGTCTACCGAAAAAAAAAATGATTAAATGAAAAGAAGAAGAAGAAAAATAATTAACTTTTAGTTGATGGAACTTATAGTTGCTGATGCTAGAAATATGTCTAGCTTGTTAATTTCTGATTTGTATTTACTTTCTGTTTCTGGGGCTTAGCCCCTCTTTATTTACAAAAAAAATAAAAAGTAATAATAATTAACTTTTATTTATTTTAAAGTTGCCAAAGCATTAGCTTTAATTAAACACAAAAGGACTAGAAAGCAACTAATTATCAATCATATTCAAATAGTTTGATATAATGAGAACTATTTGAACAATCTGGCGAACAACATTAGCATATGTGGGAAGCAAGGACGTATCCTGATAAGGAGGATCCATTGGCCCCTCCCCTGAAACACAAGCATCAACTTCGTCCATGACACTAGATGCAGCCACGTTCACGCCATTGTAATCTCCTAAATTCAACCGCTGTTGGGTGTATTCAATACTATCTTCAAGAGCACTCTTGAAAAGTACCAAACATTATTTGTAATGCTTTCTTGCTTTAGGATTGGCAGAACTTTGTGAAATCAACCCATTGATCAAGTTGATTGAGTTGGTGAGATTTGCACGAACGACGTCAACGGTGTATTGGGCAAAGTTACTGAGATCTACACCAATTACTCCATCAGGCTTCGAGTTTAGAACTCTTGAACAAAATGAAGGGTTTTCGGCTTTATTGCAAATGACATTTACTTCCACAACTTTTTCTGCATAAGAGGATGTAGCAAATAAAAAAAAAATACCAGCACAAAATAAGAAATCAAGCAAGCTCTATCAAATAAATGAACCATTGTGTTGTCTTTTTTTCTTATTTCTCCTTAGTTTTAGGTTTTATCTCTTATTTATAAAATTTAGTAGAATTCTAGATCTTGGTGACTCTTTTGAGGGCCCATGTCCAAATTTGTATCTATTTCAATAGGATTCATAATAATTGATGATTATTTCCTTTATTTAGTATTACTTCCTTTTTATGTTGCCCTTCGTTGAGCCTTCTCGTATGGACTCATAACAGGTGTGTTAAGTGTTAGAATCATTTTATATTTGTCAATTGAAAACAAAAATTCATACTCATTTCACAATACATTAATTTTCACGTATTTGAATTCCTTATTTGGAATTTATTCATTACGCCCAAATCTGTGAGTTAAGTATCATAATAATGAATTAAATTATCTATTACACTCCAAAGAAACCTCCTCCTCCTTCTACGTACGCCATAGTTCTGCTTTGTGTCTGGCGCTCAGTTACATCACCCTCTTTACTTTCAGTCCAAGAATCCAAAGAACCTAAAGGTGTTGAAGTTTCAGAACCTGCTGATGCACAAAGAACACATCCGTTTGCCAAGTTTCAAACTACAAACATGTCTACAGCACTAAATTGTAAATGTGTTCGTACATAAAATGTAAATGTAAATGAGAGGGGTCGTCCCGAACAGAATTGCCTCTCGTGAAGAATACACGTTGTTTATCCATAAAAAACATCATTCTTTGACAAGTTATATATCATTCACGAAATGCGATTACTGGTTATTGGGTAGCTATTAGTAAACATGGCAACCATTTTTTCCTTTCCGTCTATGTATAATTACTGGAGGCCTCAATTTAGAAGTAACATGCTTCAGTGCTTCACTATGTTTCTGGAAGAAAATGATGCGTATTACAAATTGATAACTTTACCTAGGAACAAAGAAAGCAGGAAACGAAAGCAATTACCTCATAAAGTGCAAGACACACGGGGTTAAGAGAGACAAGGGTGAGTAACCCGTGTTGGAGTAGCGGAGCACGTGCATAGGGTTCAATGGCATTTGAGAGCCAAGAGATTTGCACGTGCCCTGCTTCTCCAACAAGGAGCTTCTCAACCAGTAAAGACCATACACCTTGTGCTTGATGAGGTCGGTAGTGGAAGTTGAGTTCGAATTACACAAGGGAAAAGGCTCAGTATTTATAGGTGCAAAAAGCTAAAGCACATAAACAAAACCTCTGCCAAAGCATGTCATGACAGTACACACAGAAATTCAAAGTAGCGATATGGAAGGACCCCAATCCTGTCATGCCTGCTTTAATTTCATAAAAGAGTAAACCACGTAAATATGGCATTGGAGTAGAATGTAAAAATTTAATCCTAACTCTTAAGGAGCTATAAATGTACCTATCAGGAACTAATGTGTCAGTGTGTAAGGATGTGATTCCTTAAGAATTAGAATATAATTTTTGTATTGTCAAACACTGTGCATCACCAAGATTTTCGTAACAAATTTGGAAAATTAGTCTTAAAAAAAGCCAACAACCCCTTTTTTCAATTGAGGCTCAATGCAGCAAGGAGACAAGCTAGCTCAAGCCCTCTGAAGTCCTTTTGCCCTTTGTTTTGTACTAAATTTAATGCCAGATCAATAGTTTTGGGTCCCACATGCATATGGGGCTCCCCTTTTTCATTTGCAAAGAAATGGATAGTGCAAGCAGGGGAAGAAGAATAATGTATGAGTGCACGTAGGCTTTGCGTGTTGGGCGCAAGTTTTTGAGTATGGCATGGCATGTGTGTTTTGGAGAAAGTTGGGAGGCTCCCTAGGTAGATATGATTCCCTATATGTAATAGGTTCTTACCTTTTCCCCCAAACTTTTTGGTGATTTAACAGAGGGTAGACTACAAGAATTTCAAAGACTTAACATTAATATCCGGTTGCAGAAAAAGTAAACAATGAACACTACACAAAACTTACACACCAGGCTAACTTGGTATTATTCAGCAAGCGTAACCACGGTTCGGTCAAGAAGCTTTATATTTACATTTGCGTCTCTCTCATTTGCATTCATTAAGTGTAATGCGTGTATGATTCGCCTTTAATGCATTATTATTGGCGACCATCCTCTGTTCAGAGCAGATTCTATTCCACAGCATGCGAGAACCTGTGTGCCGTGCGACATTGGTTTACATATTAGTGAAGAGTTTCTACACATAGGTCACATACTCACACTTAAGCGGCCATCATTTCGATTTGGTGAATCGTTCACTCTCACTGCCATAGAAGTTGAAATGTGCATAAAGGTTAAAAAGCAATGCGCAACGGTGCTTGCCTGTCACACTGGATGCCTAATTTTTGATAAGGACTTACGTATGATGCATTAAAGAATCGATGAGGTCAATGTTAGGAAAGATATTTTTTTAGTGTCATTTAAAGATGGATTGGAACTGTTATCACTTTAAAATGGCCATGCTTTATCTTGTGGAAGAAGAACATAGATTCTGGATGAGATCATTATTAAATCTATGGACTTTAAATATTGGCGTGTGCATCCTGCACTTGGTATGCAGTAAAAGCTTTATTTGGTCACACACTCATTATTCAAAAGGCATTTGAAACCCAATCATGCTCCCAAACAGCTAAAATTCTACCGCACTTGATGTGTGTTTTTGACTATGCTTCAAAAAAGGGAACAGCAACCCAACAAAAAGGTACTTCCTTTCTTGTCCATTAAATTTGGGCAGTGATGAAATCTTCCAATACCCGGTCACATGTCAACAAAACAAATATTCATTTCACAGCCATACATTGCCACTATGGAGCTAATTCTACTAACTCATTCTGTTTTCGCTCTACGGTTACCAACATGGAACAACCCTCAGATTAACGAGACCGATTATTATCAGAGTTTCTTCATATGAAAATTGCCCCCACTACGTCTAATGAATGCCGAACCCCAAACAGTGAATTACGGTACTCATTTAATCAAAATGACAAGGGATTGAATAAAGCAAATCAGTCATTCCAATAGATACCAGGCAATGGAGGACATGGGACTGGAATCAAGACATGCTATTTACCAAAAAAAATTATGTTAATAGCTTGTATAGCAGTACACATGTTTAACGTACATGTAAGGGGGAAAACTGATTTTTTTTTTCTATTTTTGACCAATGTAATAAATAAGATCACTACATTTTCAATAATTAAGCAGACAATTCATAATAGGATAACCAAAATGGTTGTATACTCGGGCAAGAAAGGCATTCACTTACTTTTCAACTAGTAGATGATTATGGGATATCTTCATCAAATAAGACAAATGCATGACAAATGGCAATTCTAGAAAAAGTAAAAAAAAAATTGGTACAAGATAAACTCGACCCAGTTAAAAAAAATTTGAATACAGATTTTCATAAAAATGTAAAAGTGATTACACTAGCTACAATCATACACGAACCGAGGCTGCTTGGGGCAAACGCCAATTAAGAAGATACACCATTGCATTATGTGGATTAACAACTCTACGCTAAGGATATATGATTCCTGCCGTTCTCATACCATAATTTGAAGAGACTGGTATCTATTTCTTGGCATAAGTTATCAACATAGGGTTTTGCGGGGTTATCTTGAAACCCTGTAGCGCCTGCATAGCCACTGTGGATTGCATCTCATCTCCATACTCCACAAAGGCAATTCCTGGTTTTGTTTCAACCATTCTAACTTCCTTGAAACCAGGATATTGAAGGAAGAGCATTTGCAGCATCATGGGAGTTGTCTCATTGGGAAGATTCTGAATAAAGAGAATATTATTTGGTGGAGCAGGAGCCTCAGGTACCATAGATTTCGCACCACCTGGATAAGGTATCTGGGATAGCTGCAATATTAGAAAGAGCACGTAACAACTGTAGAAGTAACTAACTAAACGTGGTGACCGGCAAAGAATATGAAACAAAATTGTTCACGCTTCAGTGTATCTGAATCAATTGCTTTGAAACAGATAGCGTGTCATCTCATCTTAATAATTTCTATTTATGACAATAATCTCTCTCCCTATCTCACTTTCTACTAGAAGAACATTTCCTTCTTTTTTTCTGAAGGCAGAAATCAGAAAATCAAAAATTATTTTCAAGGGCAAACCAATAAATTGGAAAGAAAACTTCCCTGCTAGAGACAAATTACTATTAAACGGAAAGAATTCTAAAGTTGCTAAATTCACATGAGACAAATTCTTAGCATATCAGTAGGTCTTTACCATCATCGTTGACCAAACAAAAAACTAAAACAGCAGAAGAAACTTACAGCAGGTGTTGCCCCATAAGCACCAGGATAAGCTGGATTTAGGCCCATTCCAGCTAAATTAGCATCATGTTGGTCCTTCCGTTTTTTGCCTGCAACAAAATGTAACAAGGTCACCTCCATATATTGTCCATACTACACAGCTTTTCAGCAAAAGAGTTGCATCCATCCTAGATGCTCAAAACTATAGAATAACTCTGTCACTTGCTGATGTATACATGAAAAATATCACAATTTTATGAAATTCAATAACTACCCTTGCTTTAGTTGCCTAAAGGCATGCTGGAGTCAATTACAATAGCATAAAATAGATTAGAACCAAAATCACTCGTCACCCCCACCCCAAAACAAAAGACAGTTTCATGAAATCTATTGGTCCTAGTTGCCATTTTTGGTCATTCAGTGTACTGGGCTCCCATTTTAAAGAGGAAATGAGCTCTAGTTTAGTTTATGTGTACCCATACGGGTTTAAACTTTACAGTTTAAAATGCTTATAAAAATAATAGAGTTCAAAGAGTGTTGCACCTTTGTCATCATGCCTCTTACGTTTTTCCCTAGGAACAAAAGTACCATCAGCTTTTGCTATTATATCAGATTTAGTCTTTGCATACTGTATTCTCTGCATAAATTGCAATGTCAAATTCAATTTCTTGCAAGAGAATAAGTTCTATGGCACTGGCATAAACTAAAGAGTAAACTATAGCATATCCAGCAGAAAGTAAGGAGATAAAGTAAAATAATAAGCAAGTTAAGTTGTTTGAATCAATCTGTTCCTTTTATACAAAAAGAAAATTGGAAAAATAAAATAAAATAAAGTATTCTTACTAAATAGAATACAAATGAGATGCGTGATTATAATAAAATTCATTTCTCAAGATAAATTCAATGAACCTTTCTATTTGACTAGGCTCTAGAGTCAAATAATCTATTTTTTGCTTTAGATAAAATGGATAGATATTAAAGACAAATTTATAAAAATATTTCTCCTAGAGATTTGCTAAATATCCAAAGAGTCGAGCTAATGAGCAACCATTATGTAAGCAGACAATGACAAAAAGCAATTTGCATACCCTAAGAACATTCAGATAGAAATAATTGTCAATTTCCTAAAGCCACATCATGAAGTCAGACCTGTCACAGAAAATTTTTGCTTCTGTGCTACATGAATCTAAAATCTGATTTGATTCATGATTTTGTGATTAAAGCTTGTTCAATATAATTAGTGAAATAGTGTTATGAACCAACTATCCCGGTAGCTTAAGCTTTTAGATGACTACACATGAATGATTTTATATTACATCTCTAACATGCCTCCTCATGCAAGAGCACATTGGGCTTGAAGCTTGGATAATACACAAGTCCACTTATTTTGTGCTAGAATTCACTTTTTTTTTTTTAGAAGAATGGGGGTTGCAAGGATACAACTCTCTACCATTCGATCATAGAGGCTCTGATCCAATGTCATGAATGGTTTTATATTACATCTCTAACATAGAATAGTTAACTTTATTAAAAATGATAAACCACTAACAAGTCTCTATTAAATTAATCGCAATTATAGTCAACGGATCCTTGACATTGAGGATAAATATAGACATATTGTACTCAGCCAGACCTTAGCATCAGTTTTGCCTAGAGTTCTATACTATTTCTTTCTAAAATCCATTGTTCCTACTTCCTACCAAGAAAAGATCTCCGTATTTTGTTCAGTTAGGGGAGATGAGGGACTTGGAGCCTGGCTGATAAAGAGAACTTATTCTACTAACTCCATAGCAAACAAGATAGCCACTATTGCCACTTCGTCACAAGGCAAGAGTAATTTCATGGAACATTTAACATATTTGGACACTAGTCTTCTTCCTTGGGAATTTCCATTTCCCAAAAACAATTTAACAGCTATTGAGAAAAAAAGAGTTTCTACTAGACAAGCATTGCTCTGTAACGTTTTCAAATCTTGTAGGACGTAGATTATGCTAAATTTCCAAATCATAGTAAAAAGCAGTCTTCTCAGAAACCAGAACCATACTAAACCAGATAATTATAATTACAGGAGTTAATCCTAATTAAAAAACAAGCCTAAACAACTTATTTAAAATAAAATAAAAAAATTAAATAAATACAAAGTAGAGAACAGGTTTGGAGTTGACAAGTAAAATTGAAGGTGGAATGAATGTGAAGGAGTATATGATACCATGGGCTTATCATAGAAGGGGAAACCTTGCATTTGCCTGAGGGCATTGGAAGCAGAATAGACATCCTCAAATACCACCCAAGCTTGACCCTTGTGCTTCAGGGTCTTGAAAGCTAACACCTCCAGTATCTTCCCGAACTGACTGAAAACAGCGTTTAAAGACTTCTTCAACTCTGCATCAAATTATAATAAATATAAATAATATAAATCTCTATTGAAATTGAAGTCGCAGAAACACGAAATAAACAGCGTACCCTCAATCTTAATCTTTTCGTTAAGGTTGTTGATGTAGATGGTTGAGCTTTTAGGGGTTTCAGCGTCCGCATTCACTTCAGACATCTTTTACTTGCGCTCTCGAACTGGAAGAGTGAGCTTCTCTACGACGGGGTTGAGTTAAACCCTAGGCCACTGCCGGAGCTGCTGCTCTAGGCCAGTCAGTGATATTCAAGGCCATTGGGCTTTGAGCCATCTGTTCGTTTGGGCCTGTATTTCTAAGCTCGATTTACTGGTCCATATACATGACACTTGGTTGGCCCAATATGAGGCTACGTTGAACATCTAGAAACGCAGACGACAAGTCGAAAACTAATTTATTTACTTAAAAAAAGTTCATGATACATCATCATTTTATATGAAAGAATTAAATAAATGTATATGCAACATAATTTAAAATTTTCTTAACACATACTTTTAAAGTTAAAGGATTGTCGTAATTACTCTATTCATTTGCAGCACCTCGCGCATCGCATTCAGTGATTCAAATACGAGTGTGTCTTTCCAAAGTTTGGACTTTGGATTGTTCATCTAGTTCATATGTATAGGAAAGGAAATTCCAAACTAATTGATATATTATTGCCCCTACTAATTTCCCAAAAAAATTACTAAAATAAATTATTAGGTGAAAATATTTAATATTTTATTTTTTAAGTGATTATTATAATTTTGAAAAATTAATAAATACTTCTTAACATATGTCATAAAGACAGGTGTTAATGAAAAATTTTAATGTTTAAAATATAATGTATTAACTGTTTATTATTTGAGCATATTAAGATTAAATTTTTCTTTAAGACGGAGCTCATGTAGCACAAAAGTTGGAATCTTATAATTGTCGAGCAAATAAATTATAAATAACCAATACATTATCAATCTAAATAAAAAATAATAATGACATAAGTTTACGTAGTTTTTAAGCGTGTAATAATATGTCAGTTATTTATAAACTTAATTTACACATCCTGGATGAGGCACTTTTTAATTATTTTTATTACATTGAAAGTTAAAAAAACTTAAATAAAAAACTTGAGAAATTGAAAATAAATATTTTACTTTTACAGAAAAAATTTGTGCTAAACGCAGACAAAAAGGCAGATGTCAAACTAATTGCAACTTTTTTTCTTTTTTTTTGGTAAAGAACTAATTGCAACTTTTTACATTAACTACATTAATGGTATTTATGAATAATAATATTTCATGCGCATCTTTATAATATACATCACATTATATCTGTATGATATGACTGATAATGAAAAAATGTAAAGAATTATTTTATTTAACCTAAAATTTAAGTGGTTGGGTGAAGATTTTTTAATAATTTATATTATTTTTTAATTTCTCTTCATACAAAAAATTATTGAGTTTGAAGGTTAAATAATACACATACTTAGCTACTTATGTTTATAAACTTCATAATATTTGATTATTTATTAATTAAATAGAAATATGTATCGAACTCGTTGTCATTAAAACTATGACGCAGAAAATTATTTCTATACAAAGATTTAAGCTATTGGGGGAATATAGTTTAATAATTTATATTATTCTTTCAAAAAAAATGTTGTTATCAAAATGTACACGTGTAAACATTTGAATGAGCATAATTACAATCAGATAATAAAAATTATATGAAATTTGATATAATACATATGAAAAGTAGGTTATTGTAATCATTCATTCCTCACTCTCCTGTGCAGTTGTGTACAAGATTTCTTTTTGTGAGTAAAATATTCCAGAGAGAAATATGATTGAGTGGAAGGTCCAATATCTCACGCTAGTGACATTTGACCATAGGGATTCTGTAATTACATACTAATCTTTTTAAGACATTAATTTATGAAAAAACTATTTATTTTGTATGAAAAACTCTTGGCATTTTCTATTGTAAAACTAACAAGTGATGATGTCACACACTTTATGGGATAATAACGACCCAGCAAATTGTTGGGTGTACAACACAAGTTATAGTTGACTTATCTTAAAAACCACACAAGAAATTCACACAGCCTGTGGTCTCCACACGTTCAAGTCTTCATTCCATATTTCCGGGTGTATTTTTTTTTTTTTCTGTTTTAAATTAAAACAATGGGTAAAATACAATAACTTCCCTGAACTTTGGTAATATGACAGTGAGTCTCATTCTCGCACAAAAATAACACTCCTCCCCATTTGACTCGTTGACTAAAGTTGGTGTTAGATTCTCTTTCCAACTCAACCATGGTTTAGCTCATTGACATATCTTTGTTATTCTTACACTTTTTAATCATGCAGAAATAGCACCGCAAGTCCCACAATCCCATTCCACATGGCCACTTCCATATCCACTTGATCCAAAATATCCCTATGCATTCACCGCACAAAATAGGTGTTAGGTTTTTTTAAAGAGAAAGGATATTCTCACTATCAAAAAATTTCACTACTAATTTACTATTTATCTAATCATCATTAGATTAATATTTTCTCTCTCTTCAAAAACTTTTTAACATTCTCTCTCTTTGATCCAATAATAATGTGATAGGTAGTAAGTTAGTAGTAAGAATTTTTAGTAGTTAGAATATCCTAACTCTCTTTTAAATAAACCTTAACCGGTTAACATATATACACAAAGGTATAAACCCTACCGATGGAATTAGTAAGAGTGATCAAAATATCATTATTCATTAAGTTTTTTTATTCAAATGTAATACGAACAGCGTTATTTCTGAATATGTCACGCGAGCAAGTTCGTTACAGTGCCCAGCGAACTTAGTAGGCAATGATTTCGTTACACGTGACACATTTTAGCAGAAAAAATTAATTGACACGTGTCCAAGTTCACTACAAGTGATAGCAAACTTGATAGCCAATGATTTCGTAACACGTGACACACTTTTGTAACAAAAGCTGACTAGATGAAGTTCGCTACCAGGGATAGCGAACTTGGTGTGCTATGTGGCACAATCTTGTTGCCCGGTCAGAATTAATGTTTCAATCACAATAAAAAAAAAACAAAGGAAAATGACAATTAATTATAATTAATGTATTAATCACAATTAATATACTAATCATCAATCATAATTCATATATCAATCATCATTCACAATTAATTTTGATCACAATTAATGTACCAATCACAATTAATGTATCAATCGCAATTAATTTTGATTGGTACATTAATTGTAATTAGTGATCGATACATAAATTGTTTGTGATAGATACTATTGTTACAAATTCAAACGATGTTTGTGACAGATAAATTATGTCAAATGAGGTGTCATTAAGTAGATCTCAAAAAATTATGTGAAATAAAATAAAAAATATCTGATTTGAATATTCGAATTAAAAGTTATGGCCCTTCGAAGTGATTGATGATTTATACATTAATTATGATTGATACAGCCAAAAGTTAATCCCATGTATGCTAATTGTGATCGGTGATTGATACATTAATTGTAATTGGTGATTAGTACGTTAATTTTGATTGATACATTAATTAAATAGTCATTTTCCTTCATTTTCTTTTTTTGATTGTGATTGATACATTAATTCTGATTGGGCAATAAGATTGTGTCACGTAGCGCACCAAGTTCGCTACCCTTGGTAGCGAACTTCGTCCAGTCAGCTTTTTCTGCACAAGTGTGTCATGTGTCACGAAATTATTGGTTACCAAGTTCGCTACCAATAGTATCGAATTTGGACACATGTCAGTCAACTTTTTATGTGAAAATGTGCCACGTGTAACGAAATTATTAGCTACCAAATTCGCTGGTCATTGTAACAAATTTGTCCATGTGACATATTAAAAAATAATATTGTTCGAGTGATATTTAAATAAAAAACTTAATAAACAGTGAATTGTAAGAAAGCAACAAATCAGATTTTCATAAAGCAATGGGCCATACCTGGCATGGAAAATTGATTATAGACTTTGTGCACTCCTTCACGCTCCAGATATGTAGTGGTACACATTCTGAATCGTTTCATTCGGCAAAATCAACGGAGCTCGAAGACATTAGTAATTAGTTATTTGTTGTCATTGAATAAAATTTCTTTTTCAAAGCACTTTTTAAGAGGTAAGCTTTTGTGTCCTCGGTTTAATCATATTGTGGTTCCACCATGTCCTATGGAGGTATGGTTATATGCATGCTGTGTTACATGCTTTGGATATTTGAAATGTTGTTGAGCTTTATGTGTAATGGCTTTTAATATGCATGTGTTGTTCCATCTTGACGGTAAACCTGAATATGTGGCGTCATACAAGATGGTGATCCGGGATGGATGCAAGTGGCGTCTTGCACTATTTGTGGGTATTTGGCGTATACAAATCCTGCATTTCTCTGGCCAGTATAATATAATTGACACACATGACATGATTATCTGTTGCATTGCACTATTTTAGAACTGATGATGATAAACTGTTTTTGAACTTATATTGCACATGTAAGTGAGCTTGGGATGGAAGATCCCTGAGGACCCCTTGCCTTACTGAGATTTCTTGTTTAGAGATCTCACCCCACGTTTGGGGAATGCTTATTTCAGGTTCAGGTAGTATGGGGATTGATGCCTCTGGCGGCAGGAGGCCAGAGCTTAGTTGATGATTATTGCTGTTATATTTATGCTAGCATGACTGGATTGGATGCTGTTTATGTTTTCTATCATTTATGATTATTGAGTTGAGACTTATGTTGGGCTTTGTTGCCTTATTTGGGTGAGCATGAGAGTTGTTCATGCCACTATTTTGTTAGTACTTTTAGCTTGAGTTGTATAAACTACTAGTTGGTCCGGTCTACGTGTTGTAGCTCCGTGACTAGAGACATACTTATGTTATTTTAATTAATGAGGTATTTCAGTTAGCTGTTTGTTGCAATGTACATACAGGCGATGTTTTGAAAATGGTTAAGTAATCCAGTTGGTAATGATTAATGACATCATAATTGAAAAGAAAAAGATATTCTGCAATTTTAATTAAGCGCAGCTTAATACGATAACATAATAACATTACCAGATATATACAGTGTGTTACACACAAGGTAAACCAAAAAATTGGATTTGTGCAGCACAAGACAGACCAACAATGAGCTTGTGTCATATCCACGCTTCAAGCCCAAAGAACTCTTGCATGAGGAAGTGTGTTAGATAATAATATAAAAGTATTAAAAATGCAATCTCCTAACACCTTAAGATTTTG